TTCCAATTTGCGGTTGCGCTCACAATGGGCCCGCGCTGCGCTCCGCTCAGCTGTCAGTGCAACACGGTCGTGCTCTCTGCTGCCATTCTGTATAACTTGCTGGTTGTTGTTACTGAACGCGACTATTTGTGTGGTTATTGTAAATTAAAAGTTAAGCGGCGGCGTTTAGGTAATTGTTCCTATGTCTTACACACCTTTTGCGAGTCACGTTATTAAAATGAACAACATAATTTTATTTCTAAAAGTTTTTCACACATTTCAACGACGACATTGTAGAGCAATACTTGAAATTTAGCAAATGTGTCTAAAAATCTACTTATTAAAATGGTTTATCCCTGTGAAATTGTTTACATATTACCACATTTTGTAACTTTTATACCGTATAATAGTAAAAAAGTTGTCGGTAACAATGTATGTAACATTGGAAATGTGTGAAATAATTGATGTTGTATTGTGCGTTTTGTCGCTCCGCGGCGTATTGTTCCCTTAGTATTGTTGAACTGATTTGAATCTCGCGTTTTGTTCGTTACGGTAGTGACCACGCGTATCGTTTTCTGTAGACATATAATTAGGGTTTTTGTATTTTTATTTAAGTCAGTCTAAGTACTCGCCTTAATTAAAGTAAGCCCCTTAATGAAGTATAAGTGAGAGTAGCTGATAAAATGTATAAAATTGTTACTTTAGAGTAACTTATGTTATCTAATTATATCCTATTCGTTCATGTTGTATTTTTCTTTAAAAGCTGTACTTAATGTTATACAAAAAAAAAAAACGTTTAATAGTATTTTGATGGTATAACACACGAAAAAAATATTTTTACAATTTTCACAATAGCTGGTCACATTAAATGAGCGGTTCGCGTGGAAACGTAACTTGTAATTACGATTCGTGTCGGTTTGTTTACCTCACCGATAGATGGCGTTTGTTTCAACAACACGCATTGTTTTTTCCCGCGCTCCGTGGCCAACTTTTCTCATTTATTCCAACAAATATGTCTAGTGTTTCAGCGGTTTAACTTGAACGTTTCATTGAATTTCAACTCACGTTCACACATTGTCGTTGTGGAAATTTTATAATTGCTACACACAGGTGGTACCTTCCTATATTGTTCATGAATCGCGTGCGGCGTGCGACGTGTGGCACAACTTCAGTGTAATGCTCGGATAAAGTAATGAAATTTGTAACACCGTATAAAACAGATTCAATGAGTACTCATAATATTTAGGTAGGTACCTACCTAAATATTAAAACAGCTTTGATACTAAGTAGTTTGACTTTATATATATAATTTAAATATGTTGCGGGGTATTTTGCTGAGGGCATCGTTAAGGCCTCTCTTGATATTTAGTTATTGATGAGGTACCGAAGTAATTTTAGGAAAGGTAGGTATAACTGCTTTTTGTAAATAGGTTTGCGTGTCCTTCATCAAAATTCCTGAACTCCAGAGTATCGCAACATACATTATGGCGAGCAGTAAGTTGTACATAATCGTGAACAAGCGGGTGCTACGCGATAAATTCAGCGCGGGCGAAGCGCCGCTCTCATTGAATCATCAATCAACCCCCGCCGCGGCCCGCACTCTGCCGCCTCACCCCCGCACACCCGGTACTGCTGTAATTAAGTCCCAAATTATCCCTGTAAGGGGTGACTAGGTACGGTCGGCTGGCGGGACAATCCCGATAGCGTACATATCCAATGGAAAAAGAGTCTTCTGTATCTATACATATCTATATATCAGAATTATAATAATCTACATAAGTCGAAAATTGATTACAATAGACATTTTAGATGTTGTTGTTTTTTGATATTGTTGTCATTGTTTTTATATAGTTTGTGTATTGGACCTATTCAACATTTTTGTTTTGGGCAATTATTTGTTTTGTGATAGTGCACTATATGTATAGTCAATCTAATTTATTGGTTTATTCCCTTAAATAAGGACTAGCATATGGCTAAACACGACAATATCTACAGTTTAGTAGTTTATAATAAAATATATGGTAACCCTAGCACTATCGTAGTACGGCCGTCGAAGCAGTAACACCAATTACCAAAATTCGTCAAGATTTCTGTATTGCCTGTCCCTCTCCTGATAACCTGTTAGCTGGACGATCGACAAAGACAAAACATTGTTCTGATCCTGCACATGCTGCTTGTATGGAGCTTAGTTAAGTGTTACTAAACGGAATAAGACAAATTGCTTGTTTAAGGGAATTTTAAAAGGAGCACTCTGTTTCCTGCACCTCTGATGACGAAAATGTAGCGCTAATGTGTATTATAGGTACTTATACTACAGTTGCAATTATCTTCTATTAAATTATTAAATAAATACACGCTGAAAAAGTTAGTTTTTAAATTGTGAACGGTTAGAGCGACTCTCATCATTATTTTTACACAGTGTTTACTAAGGTCAGAAAAACTAAATAAAGCACCCCTTTCGGTGCTGTACTGGATCGCTAACAAAATAAGTAACTGGCATCGAATAAGACACCGCAAGGTATGATTAGGTACTCCTGCCTGATTGTTTATATCATCAGCTGTTTCGGATTACATTTAAAATTTATTACTTAATGCTTTACTAAACTTTCTACCTTATAGGACAGGAAATTAAAAACAAGACCCGAATTACTTGGCATCAGGATTAAAATATATATCGCGAAAGGGTTTTAAAAGAGACATTAGACTGAGAAGAAGTACATAAGCTTGATTAAAAAGGAAAAGTGGCGTAAACAATAAGTGCCATGATCATAAATAATATGAGGCATCTTCTCTCAGGCGGGACCAACTGGAGCAACTTCTGAAGTTATGGCTAGCTCTAACTAACAACGACGCCGACTATGTAACCAGTAACCACGGCGGTTTGAGGGGATATCACCTTCTAAAAGGAACACTTTCCTCTGCTACCTAACTGAAGTACTTTTGTTTAAGCGCTGTTGTTGTATTCTAAATGTTTCATTTCTAGTTCACGACTTTAGTGAACTGGAAAGCTCTGTAAGAAGTAAACATAATACTTTGTAACAGGTACTTGGTTGTATATTTACCTATTTATTTCCGAAAGAAACTGATCAATAAATCAAGGCATATAAAGATGTCGATGCATAAAGATTGATAATTTCAGTCTATATAGTAAAAACTTAATAAAATATTGGTATTTCGCTATTCTTCGCATTTCGAAAATACTGTGTCCAAAATTGTGACGAAAGCTCAATCTCTGTTTTGTCAGATTCCCATTTGCCATTTGATTGGCTATGATTATGAAGGTGCATCGGTATTTTCGCGTACTTCTTTATTGCGTTTGTCGATTATGTTTCGAGAGGCTGCCATTATTAAAATCAGTCTACTAAACACACCTGTGTATTAAGAGAGGACCATTTGCTACCTGTAATACACATAACAGGCTGCGAGCTTCGGTACAACATTGGCCCACATCGCAGTATACTGTAGCATTAATAAAATTAATAAGAAACAAGCTTAGCGATGATTGATCACGTTGCGAGCGCGGCCGGGAGTTGCTAACTTTTTGAATCAATCATGGGAGCAGATGGTGCGGGCGCGGTTTATAATCACTGCTTGTTTGTATACCTCGTAACAGAAACTTAATTGTTGCTGACTAGGGTCTAAGTAACAGCTCCATTGCTGATATCAATACATATAGATTAAAAGGTACGTGCAAGTAGACGGAGTAGGCTAGAAAAGTTAAAGACAAGGCACGAATAATTACGGGGTAACACTACTCGTATTATGTTTGTATCTTTGTATTCTGTTGTAAAATCAACTTCTTTTTTACTTGAGGCCTATGAGGTCTATGAGGTCTTTTTTAACTGCCTGGGTCAATTTTATGATCTAAAGAAAATCTAAATAAATCGTAATAGCTGTTTACTTCATTCACGTTACTATTGTATACTTAAAAAAACACATCGTTTTTTGATCTCATAAAAGCAAAAAGTGCAAAACTAAAGCGGTACATCAACTCGAATAGGAAAGTTTCGGGAGGTCCCGAACGTAGTGAGTTATTTTTCCAATTTGCTTCCAACAAACACATTCGGCGAGTCTGACCAACTTTACGCATAACTTGATGCGAGTTGGTTGTGAAACTTGCCGTTTTTCCAGACCCCTTCAACTGGACCACATGTCGGGAACAGGGCTCTGCTTATTTACATGCAAATTGTTTGACGTCGACAGATTTCTTTTCGATATCCCCCATCTTTGGCGTGCATAACTTTTGGCACTATACATTATTCATTTCGGACGGACGTTGCCGATCTTTTTTATTAGTTTCCTATTCAGTATTCACATTTAACTTTGAATTACTTCAGCTTGCTGAAAAGGATTTGATTTCATGCAAATGAATTGAATTTTCAACATAACGCCATCTAGTTGCTGCATTTGTAATGAGTTTTACAATGTCGTCAAAAGATGGCGCTGTGTGTCTCTATTTAGGAACTGCATAGAAAATGTAAAACAGTTTGTGATGAATATTAATTTCTGTACTTTTCTCTTTATTTCCTTTTAAAGCATTATGGAGCTCTGCGCACCTCATCAAGCAAATTACGTCTTCACATCTCGGAGCTCAAAATTCATTTGCATTTGAAACAGTGAATGCTGCAGCCGTGAAAGGTCCGCAATTTGTGCCACGCTTGTATTATTATAAAGATCAAAATTACTAAGCATTATGAATAAACTTCTATAATTTTATTTCGGAAATTAAATATTTGTTTCTTAGTTACTCTGAACGTCACTTTGGTCGCGATTTTATTATTTACAAGAATATTGTGGTAAATTACGTATTGTTATTAAAATACTTGTTTACAAGTAATTCATAAAAATAATGGAAATGTAAACAATGTTGTCCTTATTATTTACAATGTTGATTGTTTGTGTACTGCAATTTCAACATGTCATGTATCTCCCGTATGGTCTAGTGGCTAGGATACCTGGCTTTCACCCAGGAGGCTCGGGTTCGATTCCCGGTACGGGAAATTCTTTTTGCACTTACTTACCTTGCTATCAAGATTATTTTGTGCGCATAAACCTTTTCTTCGTTGGTTCCGAGGATAAAAACAATATCAGCGGAGTCTTGGTCTTCCGAGAGCCTCTGTAGGTCGCGTAGCAGGCCCGGTAAGCCGGCCCGCTCCACCGACGCGGTGCAACAAGTGCCCGTCACCCTATTCGCCATTGGCAGTGGCTGCTTCTTTTTGATTGGATCAATTTTGACTCGTGTTTCTAACGTTTTTCACTATTTACAGCTGATCAACACTAACAATTAAGTAAATCTTGAGCTGCGACACTGTCTTATTTTTTGATTAACTAAACACAATAGTTTGTTGTGGTCAAGTAAAAAAACACTTTATATCAAATCAGTAAATAAACTGTGCAACTATAGCAGACACACGACAATCCTGACAATGCAAACACCACAGTATGTCCTTCGTTCACTTATTTATAGAAAACATTACATTTGCAAATCGTTAACTCAAAGCTTGTCAACATAACCTCAATCGCATAACTTTGCTTCTCCTTCAAATAACTTGAACTTGACTACGAAAAGGCTTTCCAGCTAGCAGGTTGTATTACGGGCCTCGTGTTTACTACGGCACACTGTGTTCATTGTGTTTTGGGTTAAAATCCTCTCACGGGCACAAAACAGGTTTCATTAAACTCAGGTAGACGCTTCTATTAATATTTCTATCTTTGTCATTCATTGTGTACGCGTTAATAAGTACCGTAGTGCTATTTCGGCATCGTTAACAAGTGCCTCCGTGGCGCAATTGGCTAGCGCGTTCGGCTGTTAACCGAAAGGTTGGTGGTTCGAGCCCACCCGGGGGCGTTTCTTTTTGTTAAATTTTAATGTGTGTCTTGCTTGGATTTATATTTTATCAGTCAGTAAAAAATAAAATAAAAAATTGTATTGTTGATTTTTCTGAAATATTCAACTGTAGTACCTAGTAAACACATTATTGATCTGGAAGTTCAGGAAATACGACGATAAGTTAGTAAAGTCACAATGATTATTAGTCCAGTGAATGATAGGAGGTATTGCGTCGACCCTCGATGACTTACATACGATTTGAAGAAAATACAATTGTGTGGGAAAGAAATAGAGAATTAAATTTTGAAATACATAATTATGTAGGTACCCAGTATAAAGCATAAAAAGACTCGGGATAGATTTTAAACATTCAAGTTAAATCGGCAGATTTCACATAATACTGCTTACTAACAGTTCCTAGTATATCTCACATCATGATTGTAGCGTAACCGACAGTAACTGCAACTGCAACGCGTCTCAGTAAAGACAACGCTATAATTGTGCGGTACAATGGCTCACAAATTCGCAAAATCCGTGCCAAACCCGTACACTGCGGGTATTTAACGGTAGGAAGTTGCTCGCAGATCGTAGACGTGACAGTTCGGAAATTGCAACCCGTCAGCGGCCGCGGCGGCTGGCACGACCGGCGACCCTGCGTCGAGCTCACGCCGCCAACCGTTGCCAGCCCGTCACCAGCCGTCACCAGTCGGCAAACGTCGGCTGTATCCGTCAAACATCGGCACAAGCATTTAGTGCGTGGCTGGAATTTGTAATTGAGTTTTGATTAGAAGATGAAACTTGATTCAAACTTAGAAGTACCTATTAGTTATATTCGGCTTATTTTTAACCAAGTATGCGAATGAGCAGTAAGTTAAGTTTGATATAGGCAATGTATCTTAGAAAAAATAAACAAGAATGAATTTTATAGCGTAAATCAATATCGATGAAAATTAAAATAATAAAAAATTAAAATAAAAAAAAATAAACGAACTTTCCACAAATAAACATAATTTTATAACAATCAATTTAGAGTAGACGCTGACTAGCGCAGTCTATAATAAATTCACAGCGTGTTTAAAATGTGGCAACACAAATATTCCATGGCGAAAAAACTATTCAACCACGAATATTCTCCCACAATTTTGTGCAAACGTAATATTTAGTTTAGTAATACTATTGAACGCATCGTAGGTTCCTGTGCACTGTTAGGAATGTGTATACAGCAAGCCGGTCCGTGCCGGGCCGGCCGTCATCCGGTCGGCTGCATTATTCAACTGTCATACATACGGTGACTCCGATTCCAGGGTGCGGATTGTTAGTTTACATCACATTTAGTTCAGCAACGAACAAACACACACTAATAAAGTAAAAAATCATATTTGCACTCTAGTTTGCAATGGATTTCAAAATTGGCTAAATTATGCATGGACATTATTTTACTATGGCGGCCGATAATTGCGGAAATAGGAATTTTGGTAATCGGAAATGAAATATTTTTACTGCATTGCATTCAGACAGCAAAAATTGGCCAGTTAATAGAGACCTGTAAAGCATAATATATCAGTAAGAATGAGAGCACATTAACCTAGAATAATTGCGCAAGAACTAACTTCACCCGAGCATCATAACTCTAGCAAGGCGTTTATTTTAACAGATGTACCAATATTTCATGGCCCGTTAACTGCTCCGTCGACAAATATATGGGTTTGAACAGTCTGGTTTCTGTGAACGTCACCATACATTAGTGAGATTTACTAAATAATTGTAAAATAAGAAGGGCCTGTATGTGTATAATAATTCTCTCAGTTTGTTTTCATTGCGCCGGAGAGCGCCGTTCCAACTGCGGCGCTGACGCGTTAATGTGTCTATTGATTTCAGTATATTATTGGGCCCTTATTTGTGGGTGTCAAGGTTAATGTCTCTACACTGCTCTCTACAACTTTAACTAAATTGTTTGAAGATCACAACACGCTTTAATATGGGGTGCTTGGTGTTTATCACTCGGAGCCTAACTCTAAAAGAGTTGGTACGCAAATATAATTCTTATAAATAAAAATATCTATATCAAAAAGTACCTAATCATTAAACTAGGTACCTAGTAACGGAAATATCGACCCTTAATACTCGTATTAGATAAAAATAAAAAATCAAATACGTTTATCATTTACGACGCGCTCTGTACAAATATATGCGATTATATCAATCACTGTCGAGGGCCACTGCCGAAATATGTATGTTTGTTCGAGATAATATCGTCAATAACTGGATTATGGTCATTCTGACCGACACATCCCGTATTTGTTAACACGTGTAAACTGCGATAGCAAGGGGTTAAGTAAACACACTGTTTGTCGTTTAATATCTTCGGATTAAAGTGATCGTTCATGATTCAATATCGTCTACTCGTCGTACGCACTCAAGTGGTATTATTATTTTGTAATATTGTGTGTAGTGATTTGTGACGAACAACACATACCTACGTGACAACATTGACAATGTGGTCGAGTGTTCCCACAGGGGACACGGACTCATCCTAACAAAGTAAAATCCTAATCAGAGTCGAACAAATAGCACAATTAGCACTAGGGAGGAACAATCAAAGTCAACGTGCCGAAGACAACGAGTATGACGAGGGGCTCTCATTGTACTGAAATAAGAAAACCAATTAAAGCTGAGTTCTAAACGTCACCTAACCGTTGAATATGAATGGCGCGGTCGGGGCGACCCACGCACTCGGCCCGATGCGATCTGCCCGCAATTATACCACAAAAGAATCAATTACACGCCAGCCAGTCGCGCTCCCGCAAAGCGGAAAGAAAACAATTTAAAGAAAACATTGCGCTCGCAACGCTTAAACTCTTCACCGTTTCTGTGCCTTACCTTGTACGGCGACAGGGCTACGAGCCGACAGAACTGATCCGCGCACTATGGAAATTGTTACTTGCGTTTGAGAGTTAAAGAGAGAGTACTAAGCTTAGTATACGATTTTGGCACAAGGAAGATGTAGGTAATCGGTGCACGATGCTCGCTAGATGGCGCTAATGAGGTTTAAAGTCTTGTGTATAATTTGTTGTAGATGTGATGAAGTAGTCTGACTCTTCCAATCCAGCAATTTAAGACCAAGTCATAGTCAAAGTCTATTACATTTCAATTACACTTTTGAAAATGAGATTCGTTAAATGACTGTGCATATTAGGATAACTTTTTGAAAGGTAACAAATTGTAGTACTTGCAAACAAATGTCTCATTTTTCATAATATGAAGGACTACACATGAGGACGAACCCCGTTTGACGTAGGTGTCTACGCAATCAAGAGACATGGTCTCGTGTGGGTTTGCTTGGCTTGGCGTGGCTGGCTGCACCACACGACCGAACTGTGTTTGCCAAAATCAGTTCCGCGTGAGTGAGCCGCGTCTAAATTTTTATCATTGCCGCGGCTCGTCTCGCGAGTTTGGCCCTCGTCTCTTTGAGGTGCAGATCAAAGCGTACGCGCTTCTATTAGCCCTGATTACAGCGGCGCACTCGAGGCCCCGCCCCGCGCCTGCCTCCGCCGCCCCTCGCGGTCGCATTGTCTAACCGCGACCGCCGTCGGGTTAAGTTAAGATGCGTTGTAGTGTCATTGCAAGTTTAATTAGCTTTGATAGTGATGCGCCGACGTTTGACGTCTCTAGTACGCGATAAGTGTGCTGTGCCACTTACGCTACAGTGGTTACATAGTCTAGGCTTGCCCGAAGTACTAACTACTATCTATTTCAAAACATACAAGTGGTTGTGACAAAAGGAAGCATCATTCGGATGGCTTGTGTGTGCTCTTTGATAACGTCGATGGAATTGTATCGTTTGTCTAACTCACCGAGCTGATAATATTCTATTTTGAGCACTACGGTATAAATATCAAAGAAAAGAGCCATTATCTACACAGAAGAGCCCATTGACATCTGGCTAGCATAGTACCGCATCCTACAGTAGAATGTTATTCGTATTGGTGTAGTTATCAGGTCGGAGTGAATGAATCTTATCGGGTTGTTATCGCGAGGCGCGACGACCGCGACGAGCTACTTCAGTAGTGGAACCGATCGACGGATATTATTAGATTTTAGAATATTATTGTTCTTATTGATGTAGGGAAGGGACTGCGTAGCAATTGACAACTATCAGGTCATGCACAGTCTTACACTATTAGACAAACCTTATGGACCATGATGACTGGTTGGTAGGTACCTACTTCAAGTATTATAAGAAAGAAAGAAGAAAAAAACACGATATTTTGGCTTAGAGTACCTACATATTATTATATCTGTCGAAGTCAACTAGCTTAATAACTCATTCGACAAACGGCCTGATTGACTAAGTAGCTGATTACCTACCATTCTGTAAGCAAGTCAGTTTCAATGAAAAAATATTCTTGAACTAACAGCTTAAATGATAATATCAGTCATTGAATGAAACAGCTAGCCATACAGACAGCTGATTGTATGGCTA